TCGGCGCTGGACCCTCCTCCATGGGAGCGCGGAGCGCGCCGGGGGCGGCGCCAGGGGCGCCGCCAGGGGGTCCCAACGCCGATCCGAGGAATCCGCGCGGACCTCCGAGTTTTGTAGGGGCGCGCGCGGCCCCCGCTCGCGATCGGACCCGGGCCACCTGCTGCCCTGCCCCCGCCTTCTGCGCCCGCACGAAGGGTTCGGCCGCGCGCAGGATGGGGGGTGATGGGGGAGGGGCGCCCCTGCTTCTCCAGCAGGCGCGCTGTAGATGTAGGGCAGGGCCTTTCCAAGAGACGGCCTCCTTCGAAGAGAAGCCTTCCCCCCTTCCCCCTCCCCCTTCGTGCGCGCGGCCAAGTTCGGGTGTTCGCTGGTTGCTTGGAATGTTGGTCAGGGGCAACGACAGGGGGGGGGATAGGGAAGGGGGGGGGCGCATCGACCCCGAATCACCCATTGATCGCCGATAGGGGCCTGATAGCCCCACATCGCCGAGAAAAGGTGCGGATTTGCTATCGGGGGCCTGTCGCCGATCTATCGGCGCTGTATCCCCGATTCCAGGTCGATGTCCCCCCCCCTTCTGCCAGTCCCCCTCTGCGCGCCGCCAAGGAGGAGGAGGAGGAGAGGAGGAGGAGGAGGAGGAGGAGGAGGAGAGGAGGAGGAGGAGGAGGAGAGGAGGAGGAGGAGGAGGAGGATGCAGGAGGAGGAGGAGGAGGAGGAGGAGGAGGAGGAGGAGGAGAAGGAGGAGGAGGAGGAGGAGGAGGAGAGGAAGGAGGAGGAGGAGGATGCAGGAGGAGGAGGAAGGCACCTTTGCGCGCCCCCACGAAGGTGGCCGTGGCAAGCGGAGAGCGCCGGGGCGGCCGGGCTCGCAGCCCCGGCCGACGAGCGCCAGGGCGCGGGCGCCGGCGGGCAGCCCGCCGCGGGGCGCCCAGCAGCAGCGGCCGCGCCCCGCGCCGAGGAGGCCGCAGGGCGCCCGGCCGTCGGCGGCGCGGCCCCCGCGGGGCCAGGGCCGCCCGCGGCGCGCCCGTCTGCGGAGCGTCAGGGCGCTCGGGCGCCAAAGGGGGGCGCGGCGCAGAGACATGCTGGCGTGAGGTCGGGCCTGTCCCTCTACAGGAGGAGGATCCCAAAATGGTAACAAAGTAGTCGTGGGACGATTTTTCTTGGATGCTTTCGAGCATTTTTTGTTTTTTCGTCCAAAACCCGCCTATAGGAGGACACGCCCGACCTGATGCTCGCGTCGCGAGCCAAGAGCAGGGCGGAGGTTCCTCGCCGCTATCGGCTGCCGGGGGGCCCTCGCGGGGCCCCGGGGGACCGTCCGAGCATGGCTCGGGATGAGAAGCCCGCGCAAGGGAAAGGGTGGGGGCTTCCGGGGACCCCGTATCCCAACAGAGCGGTCAAAGCTGCAGCGAGCCGCAGTGGGATTCGAGTGAAGCTGGATCGAGTCCTGATGGGGCTCCATTCGAGCTGAATTCAGCCCTGTGGATCGAGCCCTGGTACGAGTCGATCAGAGCTGGACCCAACTCTTCTGTGGTTTCGCATTCATGCTCGATCGAGCTTTAGTAGGATTCCATCAAGCCTGGATCCAGCCCAGCGCGCGTCTGGGGATGCAGACGGGGGTGGGGAAAGGTGCGCCTTCTGTGCCCCAGAAGGGGTCCTGCAGGCTTCAGAAGGGACACGGAAGGTAGACGTTTCTTCCCCCCCCTATCTCCAGGAGGTAGGATTAAGCACAGTCACCTTTAAGCGTCGATTCCCATGAAGGCAAGGGAAAATATGGGAAGTGGAGGGGCAGGCGAACATCCAGAACATATGGCACGTATGGGGAATCTTTGCATGTGTGTTTCTTTGTTTAGCTGAACGCCTTGAGGGGGCAGACACCGCCGTCCCACCTTTTTTGGTATTGGATTTCGTGGCATGCTTATTCTTTGACTTCTCTGCGATTCGCCTGCATCCACGGTTGGAGTCGGGTTCCCTCTCGGCTTTCGTTGTCGTGACGGCTGGGTACACCCGCAAATCCTGCCCCACATGTGCAGACACATTGTTGTGAGGGGGTCACGCTTTCCTGGGGCTCAAGGCTTCGGCGATGGCACGTTGAAGGAGAGGCTTCTTTGTGAACTTCATGCGTGTCTCTTGGAAGGTCTTTCCGGAGTTCTTGGCGGAACCTGCTGTGGCCCTCCCCTCGGTGTGTCGGTGGCATTCGTAGGGCTCGCTTGGGGCGTCCTCAGGGCCTTCGCGACGTTGACTGGGCCAGAATGAACCGGGAACTGGACCTCGTGCTCTTCGTCCCTTCTCTTTGCTTTGTCCTCGCGCCGGTTGCTGCCCTCTCGCGGTCGTTGCTTTTGCAGACCTCTCGTCTTTCTGCGCAGGGTGCACGCGCCTGCCCTGCTGGCTTTGTTGGGGCGTCTGGGGCTCGGGGCCCTCCGCGGCTGCTCGGAAACAGAATCTGGGCTCGTTGGGGCTCTGCTGGGGCGTCTGGGGGTTCCTGCTGGGGTCATTCTGGGGGTCCTTGATGGCCCTCTTGGGAGCCCAGGGGTGGGCTCTTGGACTCTTGGGGTCATGTTGGACAGGAGACTTCGCAGGATTGGGGGGAACGATGGACTCGGGAGGTGGAACAACAACTGTTCAGGTCTGTTGTGGCTCTTGGGAGAGCCCCCGGGGGGCTCTCTGGAGGTGCCCGAGACGGGCGAAGACGGCCGAGGAGGGCGCCGTGAGGTCGTCAGGACGGCCTCAGAGAGCATCCGCAGGTTCGAAGATGCCCGCAAGAGCCCGCGGAGATGCGCGGGAGCTCCAAGAGAGGCGGAAAGAGAAACCCGAGATGGCCATAATCGTCAACATCCCATGTGTGTTTACGATGTTTTTTGCTTGTTGGGATGTGTGGGAATGTGACATTTGAGGAGAGGTGGAGAGGCGTCCGGAACGGCCGAAGGTGGCCCGAAGGACGGTCTGGATCAGCCGAGAAGAGGCCAGGGGAGGTCCCCCAAACCCGCCCAGAAGGCTCCTGGAAAGGTCTCTGAGAGGACCCGCGGAGCTGTACGAGACAGGGGTCAATGCAAACGGGGGTCAGCCAGAGTGCCAGATCTTGCAGGAGCCTGCAGAGCCTGGGCTGGACTGACCTGGGCTCGCGCGCAGGATCTTGCAGGATCCTGCAGGACCCTGCAGGGTCCTGCGAGGCCTGATTTGCCCACCCGCGTCGATGCGTCCCCGAACCTGGCGGCGCCCGGAAATCCAATGCGTGAAAGGGGGGTCGTTTTGGGTTATGTTGCTCCCATCGTACTTACGGACCACATCCCAGGAATAATTTCGAGCACCCAGAAAAGTGGCGAAACAGTGTCGAACGAGTGTCGCCTCCCAGGGCCCGACACGTGAAAACCCTCGAGGTTCGGTATGTTCAGGGTGCTCGAACTTCTTTCTGGTGATTATGCTGAAGTATGTTCGAACATCATCATAAGTCTTGGGGCGGAGGTGGTGGCCAGAAGGCGCCCGTGGGACGCTGCCAAGGCCCTCGGGCGGCGGTGTCGCTTCGCTCTTTCCGCTGGCAAAGACTTGTCGCACCGCGGTCGATGGCCCGAGGGATCGCTGTCGAGGCGGTGCGGCTGGGCGAGGCCTGGGGTGAAGTCGGGCACGTCCCTCTGCAGGCGGAATGTTCAAAAAGCAGTGAAAAAGTGGTCTGGGCACGATTTTGGTATTGTTTATAATTTTTTTGGGGGCATTTTTTTAACTGTTTTTTATGTTTCGTCCAAAATCCGCCTGTAGGGGGACATACCCGATCCAATCCTGGGGGGGGTGCATGGGGTGGGAGGTGGCGCAGTGACTGAGGAGTTGGTTTCTCTAGGCCTCCCACGCGGGGTCGGAGCAGACGGGGTCGGAGGCTCGCGCCGCATCGCCGATGCATCGGCGAGGCGGCGCGATGTGGGGCCCGATCTGCTTCACGTCGACGTCGCCGATGTATCGCCGACGTCGACGATGCATCGCCGGTGGATCGCCGATGCATCGCCGATGCATCGCCGATGCATCGTCGATGTATTGGAGATTCGGCGTGATCCTCCGACCCCATCTATTCGGACCCCATCTAGGAGGCCACTAGTATCGGGGGTTCGTCGCAGACTCCTGCGGTGTTGTCTGGGCAATCGTCTTTGGCAGGCTCGTTGGCGTTTCTGGGGAAGCCTCTTTCGGGTATAGCCAGGACCCCGGGTAAGGGGACCCGGTTAGTGGTAGGGCCCTGGGGCCCCTCAATTGGCCAGATTCACTAAACCAGGTTTGCCGTAGCTGGTGTTTTTCGGGTGACGGCAGTTCCGGTTAGTGGAGATGGGACGGGCGGGCGCCCCCTGTACAAATCACTAAACCTGGTTCCACTAAGCCCAGTTCTGCCAACGTCCGACTCTTGGGGGCCTGTTGAGGCTTCCTGGGGGCCTTCTGGGGGCCTCTTGGGGCCTTCTGGGTCTTTTTTGGGAAAAAAAGATCAGAACTGTCATTTCGGGTGCGCAATCGCGGCCCTCTCTTGGAGCCGTCTTGGAGGCCTCTTGGCCCGTTTTGGAAGCCGCTTGGGCGGTCCTGGGGCCCTCTTGGGCCGCTTTGGGGCCCCCTTCGAGAGCTCATGAGTCGTCTTGGGCCGGTATTGGGAGCGGTTTGGGCCGTCTGGGAGTGTCGGGAAGCTTCGTGGCGGCCCAGGGGCCGCCGCGCGCAGAGAGCTGGAGTATTGCTAACTTGTCAGCGGAGATCTTAGCCCGCCTCTGGCTCGTTGGGCCGGCGAATCTGCGTGCTCCTGGGCCCTCGGGTTCCTGTACAGGGCGTTCCTTTGCATGCACATCGCCTTCGGCACCGCCTGATTCCGGGGCTTTGCCCTCTCTTGGCCTCGACGTGAGGCCCCTCCATCTTCCACCCTCTGCTAATGAAAGCTGTGCGCGGCCCGCTTAGCTTCGACCGGAAGAGGTGCGCGCTCGACCCGCGGATCAAAACGTTCCTGGGCCCCCGCGTCCTCGCCCCCCCCCCCCCCTTATTCGGCAGCGCCCGAG